CCTGGCTTGAGCGATAGTCAACTCACCGATCAGTTCTGTCCTACTGAGAGCCGAAGGTCAGGCTGTAAATGCTCCTTCAATATTAGGCCTTTCAGAAGAAATGGTGGCGAACGAATGTTGCTTTCGATAACTTCTCGTCAGGCCAATACAGTTAAGTAGGACGGGGTACAGTGAGTGAAAAAAAATCGATAAACGTTGGGTTTTAAATTACAGACTAGGCAAGAGCGGAAGGGCGCAGAAACTTGTGTGTGGTTAGTCAAACTTTGACCACGGTAAGCGCGGGGCCTGAACGAGGTCCTTCTGGGCGCATAGGGTCGGTTTTCTTAACCTGGTGGCGGCCGCTTCTGCTGTTGCTAACAGGCGCTGGCCCAGTAGCTTAGGGTAGCTCGAGCGGACCTTATCAATCACACGAAATGCTTCAGCGGGGTCCACAGGATGCCCTTAATGCACTGCATGCGCAAGGATGACGCTATCTATTCTCCTAGTTTCACTTTTTGCCAGCCATGCGGGAAGGTGCTCTCGTATTCTTTTGGAAAGGCGCCGACTCGTACGACCAATATAACCTGCTCCACAGGAGCAAGTGAATGAATAGATGCACATTAAGGCGGTCTGAGGTGGCAGCCTATCCTTGCCTTCCCCGCGTAAAATAGGGTTATTAGAGAATGGTATGCGAACCCTTGCTGCTGAGGTTTCCGAGACAGCTTGGTCTAGGCCTTTATGGCACTTCCATCTGTGTGAGGTGTGAGACCCCCGTCCCTTTTCTGAGTTCTGGTTCTCGTAGAGATAGGGGAAAGTAAATTCGTGGCGCGCGCGGTCAGTTACTGCTTCTATACACATCTCCAGACGTCTCGACTTCGTCCTACGGTGGGTTTTGGAAGAGGAAGTGAGCCGCGTGCATCGCAAGCCACTGGCCGTAGTCAAATTCATGCTCAAATGGCTGTTTCATCCTGCCCAGGACAGCGATGGTCTCTGTGACGGACGAACTATCAGATGGAACACCTGGAAAGTAAGGTCGAGTTAGGCCCTTCAGCCCACTGCTGAGATCACAGTTGTCCGCCAAAAGACTCGACTATTCATCCGCCGATTTTGTTGTTGAAGCGTCCACGTAATCTTCACGCTCAGGGCGGGCGTGAACAATCAAGCTCGGCTGTCAAGAACCAGCAGTTGACTCTACCACACCGTCCTGGAAATGAAGACTGCATGTAAGTGTCGCTGGGCATTTCGAGATCTGGAAGTCCGATAGTTTAATGCGTCTCCTCCAGGGTTCTACCTTTTACAATCCCACTGTTCTCGTAGAATTTCGTCGGCCGTAATAATTCCTCATCATGTTCGAATGTTTCTGTCAGAGGGTATTTTATATTAGTTTCCTCACAGTTACAGCCGTCTGCACGTTGAACATGCTTGTTCAAGCATTAATTAACTGCGAGATCGCGAACTGCGTCTACCAGGTTGAGCTCGTACTTCAGCGATTTCGATCATGTGCGCGCTGCAGAAGCGGCGTAATGCGTTCCACGAAATGGACCATCTTGCCCAGCTATCTTAAGCTGTACTTGGATCGGGAGGTTAGATGCCAGTAGTCATGTGTGTCCTGTCGTAGACCAGTTACTTTTGAATCTTCCTGCGTTCGAATTTAGCGAAGTTGCGCTTCCCATCGCTTATACTTGTCTCGGTGAGCGTTCTATAGCATGTAAGATGAGTTACACAGCAGGCTATTTCCTCCCAAGGCAGGAGCTTGAGATTTCACTTTTCAGCAATAGGCTTGCCCGCTAACCTTCGAGACCTGTGTCGGAGTCTTCTGCCGGACCCACATTTGTGCCTCACTATTGCCTGATGTCCGGGAAATCCAGACGGTCCAAGTGTAGCTAACTCCAGAGTCTGACCATCGATTTCGACGGTGTCCACCGTGTGCTCCACACAGCAGAGCGAGAGCGGGAACGGTGACTTGAGCGTGGACTAGTTTTTAGTGGGAGTAGAATTGCGCCGTATCTACCGCACTCTCCTCTCCCCCACCGGGGTCTGGTGTCAAGACGTAGTGAAGAAGACCGGAGGCGGAGAGGGTACAGATGGCTGGCACAGCATAAACCCCTACCCAGGCCTACCACCACACCCCTGGCCCACAGCGGACACTGACCAGGATTTCATATTACGACGAGAGTGGGGGTCGCACGGACCGAGGTGGGCTCGTTGTGAGCTTGCAACTTCCACCGCATCCCGAATGTTGGCATTTGTTATGGCAACCCAGCCTCCGCCTAGGAGGGTAGGGCTGCGCGTGGCGGACAGAAACGAGAATTAACTCTTAAAACCTTCTGGTTTATGCTGTCTTGTAACGCAGTAGTTTCCACCACCAGGGGTATTGGCGATCTGCAATTTGCTCTAACGAAATCCGTCGAACTGGTCAGGTGAGGCCCCAACTTTCGCGTAATAATCTGATCAGATTGCTACTACAAGCGAAAAGGCGAGTTCCAGGAAGCAGCTGAGGAGACGCAATTGCTGGAAGATGAATTTTAACCGTCTGACGTTCCGGCCTGGCACTGGAACAACCCCTGGTCCACAACGTACACTAATCAGGATTCTATATCACAACAAAAAATAAGGGTGGAGGGGCGGGGGTGGCACAAACTCCAGCTGGTGAGACGAACACCAGCAACTGGGCCTGCCAGCACACCCCAAATGCTAGCATTTTTATGGGTGCGCATTCCCGATACCGTGTTGGTCCAGCGCATCTACAGCGTGGCCCGTTCTAGGGCCATGGTAGTTGACCCTCCACTGGGACTTAAGATGTCGCATCTGTCAACTGATGTATGTTTCCCCTCCAAGTGAACAGCCTAGATAACGCTCTGTAACCGTTTGTTAACCTGAAAAGTTGAATGGGCAAACACATATTCTCAGTAATTTATCATCAGGCCAATACGTGGAGAAAGAAGATGAGTTGTGGACATGGTTTATAAGCGCCTCAGGGGGTTAGTCGTCATCCTCGTTCCAACGCCGACCGCATGACGAAGTCTACATGTTGTGGTCATGGGGGCAAGAGAACCCAGAAGATGTGAATGGTTTGGTATACGCTGTTCCATCTTCTGCGGAGGGTCCCGAAATGTAGGCTGAGGTTTTTCCCCATAATCGGCTTGCATTTGGTTAATTGCACTGGATTAACGTCCGATGCCTTGGCTGCACTTCCACCACGATGGACACAGAAACCCCCATAGTAGGTTTGGTTTCAACTGTCCGGCCCAAAATCATGTCTAGTCAAACAGAAAAATAACTGGAAAACACCAAGTTACGGGGTGCGTCAGGGGAATTACCTTTCGCCAAATATCAAGCCGCCAACAGGACAACAATTTAATCGATCACTGTTGACCCCAAAACAGCCTTCTGAGTACTTGTTCAGGCACGACTAACTCAAGCATCGGGCTACTTCAAAATAGTCTACATGTGGAAGGGGAAATCTGGCCTATGCAAACAGACCACATGGTCAACCATAACCTGTCCGGGTACTTTGATTTGCACATCATTTTACGTGTTGGTGTTCCCTTCTTCAATGCTGTTTTAATTCACCCCTTTACATCGACTTGACTGCGTGCTGAACAATAACCTCGCCGCTTTCTTTTCGATTTTCTGCGCAAATCCAACTTGCTGCATACTCCTTTTTCGTTATCAGTGTTATGTGGTGACGGGTAGCAAATCGCAAGCTGTCCCAAAATTTGTTGGTTCCAGTAAATTCCGCTGTTTGCGTCTGTTTTAAAGTATGGGATTTGGTAATGAAGTTTTGATCCACTAACGATAATCGTGTTTTTAAATAATGTGAAAAGTGATACTTTCTGATCTGGACTGATTTCTGGATGTGAGTAATTCTCGATTTACATTTTTGTGAATGTTTTTTATTCTACTTTCTTAGAGAGCTCATACTTATTAG